CCAGAGACCATGCAGTGGTGGGGACCAAGTCAGCTCTTCTGTCTGTGAAGTGTAGACCCCAGCCCAGCCCCCAACACATGCCGTAGGAAAGTCAAGATTCCTTACCCACAGGGTCGCATCAGAGATTTTCTTTCCACTAAAATCCTCTTATTTCCACCTAAAAAAGATCCTAATTCCAAGCAAGGTGTTACTCATGTAATAGCTTAACTGCACAGAAGTCCACCCTTTCTGGTGTACGTCCAGCCCTTGGGTGTTGAATTCAAGAGATCTCTGTTAGTCTCAGATTCTTTTCTTAGTACTTAATGATCTGCAGTGTAAGTGTGAGCCACGCACTGAGATCAATACACATTTCTCTTTTCATCTCTGTGAGAATTTCAGTTTGCCGTAAACCCATGAGAATTCTGTAATGTGTGTGCGGATATCTTGGGTCTCACTAACCAGACAAACATTCTGCCATTTCTAAAGTGGGCCTCAGGCTCTGATTCCTCCTGTCAGTTTTCGGAGGGATCCGACCCTCGGAACATGCTGTTCCTTCACCCACTCACCTGGGGACCAGGGAAACTCGGCTTGTTGCTGTAAGTTACACCTCCTTCACTGTGTGACCTGCCCGCATCACTGGTGCTATGCATAGCCCAGTGCCGCAAGGTGGGATGGAGGGAGTACTCAGTGGCCCTCCCGGCTTCTCCCGAGGTGCACATTCCCTTCATCCCCAAGGCACACAGATTCGAACCAGTGAGTAGGACACGAACATCCACAGCTTTCCTGGACCCCAGACTTTAATGAGATCCCCCACTTCACATGCACCTCTGTCTCTCTCCAAATATGCGTCCCAGGAGCCACACTTCTGTCCCCTCTTATGTCCTTTCCAGGCTGTGGCATTGCCCAGTCTTGACTGGCCATCCGTCCCCACCCTGTGCTCCCCCAAACATGTCATTTTGTGGTGTAAATGCTCACACACACACACATAGCCACACACGCACCCATTGGGCTGTATCTGTTATGTCTTCGCTCCTTCCCTGTCTTGCGGCCCTCTCTCCCCAGGCCAGGTCCTCCTCCTCCTCCTGTGCAAGCCAGCCCGGAGGAGAGTCTGGCCGAGGGTGTGAGGCCACACGCTCCGTGTGCCCCGAGCTCTCATCCTCTACCGGAAACCCATGTTCATCTTTCTGTTCTGGCCTTTTGCGAATTGCCATTTTGTTTAAGAGCAACTCACTTTGGTCCTCTCCAGAGTCTGGATGAAAATCATTCTCTGTTGGATTAGTCGGAACAATCTTCCCCGCTGTTCTGGCTCAGAAAGGTATCAAAAACACATTCTCCGAACTTGCTGAAAGTTACTGAACTGAGTGAGAACCAATGGATACTCCCAGCACAAAGCCGCTCTGCAAGACATGCTTTGCATGTGTGTGTGTTTTAATTGTTGTCATTTCTTGGTAATAATTTATTCAAGAAATAGCACTTCAACCTGGGATTAGGTGTTTAAAATAATTCTTTTTTTGGGGGGGGTGGGGTGGGGGTGCAACAAGTCCTTTTTTTTCTTTCCGTTCTCCATCTCTCAAAGTTATTAACTTGTTTCTTTAAATTCAAATGGACACAATGATACACAGGTTCTGGCATGTACACATAGTCAAACGTTTTCTCCCTCACAGTCCGTAAAATTTCACTAAACTTCTGCAAGCATCAAAGCCTGGGCCCCTGCCCCTGCAATAGCCCTGGGAGCCGTTGAGCATCCGTTCTAGGGCAGTTGTGTGCTGGCCTCTCTCTGGGTTGATTTCTGGCACAGGAAGGGAAGTCGAGGCCCCAGGGGCCATGAGGACCCGCAGGGCCCGCGACCAGGAGTCCGTGGCTGGTGGGTCCAAGGAGACTCAGTGGGCTGGGGGTTCCCGGAGGTTCGCACCCAGCCGCAGCAACAGCAGGGCGCGGTGGGGAGAGGACGGTGCCCCCCCCCCCGCCCAGACCCGCCCCCACGACCCAGGGGCAGAGGTCGGGCCGCTCTGCCGGGGAGAAGGGGGTGCAGGAGAGACCCCCGACCTCGGGGTCAGAAGAAGCCGAGCCTGTCCACGCCTCGCTGCGTGCCCTTGAGCCTCAGTTTCCCCACCTGGAGTGGAGGGAGCCCCCGAGCAGGGGTGGGGGTACATGGTGAGTCTCGGGCGGGGGTGCTGCAGCAGGGACAGCCCCCTGCCGGCACCTGCGGGCCGCCCAGGCCGCTGCTGATCCCCTTCTCCTAGACCGCGAGAAGGGAGCCTGGTGCCCCCGAGGAGGGAGACGCGGAGCCCTAAGCCTGAGCCCAACGCCGCCGCCGGACCCCGGACCCCGCGCCGCCCGCCCCGCCCCACCCGAGGGGCCAGACGCAGAGGTCGCCGTCCAGTCCTGCCGCCGCCGCCTGGGCCCGCGGACAGACGCCTCGGACTCAGACCCCCGCGCCCCAGGACTCGCGCACCCTGCGCTCCCCGTGGCCCGCCCGCCCGCTGCCCCCAGGAAAGACGGTCACATGTCCTGGGGTGAGCCTCGCTGGGCGCCGGGGGCTGAGGTCCGTCTTGCGTAGGGGAGACGGCGCCTGGGGTCGCCCGCCAGGAGTTGCCGGCCCTGCTCTGGCCCCCGCCAGCCCACCTGGCGCCACGGAGCTCGGGCGTCCGGCCGGAGGCCCCCCAAGGACCGCTGGCGGGCAGCGCCACCTCCTGAGGCTCCACAGCCGCGGGCCGGCCCCCGAGGGGCGGGCAGGGAACCCCGGGGATGCGGGGACGCGGGGACGCGGGCCTGAGCGAGGCGCTGCCGGGTGCGGGTGGACCTGGACCCCTGCGCCAGGCAGGGCCCGGCACCCGTGCAGTTCGCACGGCGGCCAGCAGAGGGCGCCGCGAGCCGCTCACCAGCCCCGTGGGGCTGCTGGTCGGTCCCTCACTGGGCAGGACCTGGCGAGGGCCAGGGGAACCCGAGGACCCCCTGAGACCGCTCCCAGGAGCCGGGGCGGGGCGGGGGGGGGGAACATGCCCTCGCAAGGCCAGCTGGCAGTGCAGGGGAGAGGACACCAGGGCACCCTCGTCCCCCTGCGCCCAGCTTCCCGGGAGGGTCCCTCGAGGGAGCAGAGGCAGCGCTGTGCCCCGGCTCTGCTGGGGGGTCTGGGGGGGTCTGTACAGCCCCCGGGGAGCGTTGAGTCTTGGCGGCCTGTGCTTTGGCTCGGTGGGGCACCCCCGGAGCCCCTAGCGGGATGGTGGGAGATGAGGGGGAATGGGGCCCTGGGGTCAGAGCTGGGGGCTCTTCTGCTTCCACATGGGGGTCACAGAGACCTTGGTGACCTGGGTCCTCTGGGCTGGGGCCCGCCTGCAGCCCCTGCTGTAGTCTGGGCGGGCGAGTCGTGGGGGCCATCCCAGCTGCAGCAGTGCTTGGGGACCATGTGGCGCAGACCCCTGTGCTGCCTCTCTGCCCCCATGTCCTTGATTCTTTCAAAGAAGCTTGTGGGAGCCAGAGACACTACAGCAGACAGTGCACTTGCTTGGCGTGCAGAAGACTCGGGATTGAATCCCGGCACCCCATAAGGTCCCCCTGGGTCTGCCAGGAGTGGCCCCTGAGCATCGCCAGGCGTGGCCCAAACAGTCCCTGTCACTGTTCATCAATTTGCTCAAGCGGGCCCAGTAACGTCTCCACTGTGACAATTGCTACTGTGTTTGGTATATCGAATAGGATACGTCACGGGTAGCTTGCCAGGCTTTGCTGTGTGGGCGAGATACTCTCGGTAGCTTGCCGGGCTCTCAAGAGAGGCAGAGGAATCGAACTTGGGTCGCCATGTTGGCCACTTGCAAGGCAAACACCCTTATTTTGGACCACACCCGGCAGTGCTCAGGGCTTACTCCTGCCTCTGCACTCAGGAATTACTCTTGGTGGAGCTCAGGGACCCTATGGGAAGCCGAGGATTGAACTCAGGTTGGGTCATGTGCCAGGCAAACGCACCTGGGCATTTGGGCCTCTCCCTCTGCCCCCACCCCCAAGAAAGACTTTAAAAAATAAAGTGATTGTTCAGAAGCCTTCCCGGCACTCGGGGGCAGGGACTGGCATCATTGGGTGGGTGGCCTGCAGGCATTAGGGCCCGGGCCCTCGAGGTGACACAGCACCTGCCCAGTGCTGGGCCATACCCTGCAGTCCTTGGGGCTATACCCAGCAGTGCTCAGTGGCTACTCCCAGCAGTACTGGTGGACTTACTCAGAAGTACTGGGGCTTTAATCCAGTAGCCCTGGAGATATTCCTAGGAATACTGGAACTCTTCCTAGCAGTGCTTGGAGCTTTAGCAGTTCTGGGCAGTTCCCAGAAGTCCCTGAGAACTAGGGCTCAGACCGGCAGGCTCCAGGGCAGGGGTGCCCGCAGCATGGGTCCTCTTCGGCCTTCCAGCACACGGGGTGTATGCTCTGACCTTTATCTCCTTGCCCTGATTCTTTTTTTCCCTACTTTTGGTTTTGTTTTGGGCCACACCCTGTAGTGCTCGGCCAGTCCTGGCTCACTGCAGGGCGAGGACATATTGGCTGCTCCTGGGGGTACTTGAGGGACGCAGTACTTGGGTGCAAGTCCTGCCATCTCCCCAGACCTGATTCTTAGTTCTTTTTTTCTGGGGAGGCAGGGGTCACACCTACCAACTGGCCCCCTGGCGCCGTATAATCCCATCAACGGCCAAGACTCAGAGACTATAAAAACCAGCTCTCGGAACCACGCTGCCACATTCGCGGCCGTGCGACATCTTATTATGACATCTTATTATCTCATTCCTACTTTGGACAAACTGGCAGGCTACCGAATGTAACCTGCCCACACGGCAGAGTCTGGCAAACTCCCCGTGGCGTACCCAATATGCCAAATACCAGTAACAATGATGGGTCTCATTCTCCTAAAGAGCCTTGAATATAGCACTTTCTTAAAAATCTCAGGGCTAGGATGAAGGAGACGTTACTGGGGCCTGCTCGAGACAATCGACGAATAACAGGATGGTCGTGATTCGTGATTCGTGCACTCTTTGGTCTTTTAGAGAATCCGAGTTCATAAGAGACTCCGATGAAGAGAAAGCTTCCCTGCAGAAATCCATCAGTATTACCAGTGCCTTGCTCACGGAGAAGGACACAGAGCTGGAGAAGCTGAGAAATGAGGTCGAGTCCCGGCCCCTCCCACTTGGACCCGAGCCACGCCCATCTCACTCTGAACCACGCCCACATTGGCCTGAGCCATGCCCACTCCGGCTTGAGCCACTCCCATGTCGGCCCAGGCCACGCCCACATGGGGGTCACAGCCACAGCCACGTGGGCCTAAGCCACACCCCTGTGTTGCAGGTCTCCTTGCTCAGGGGAGAAAATGCCTCTGCCAAGTCCTTGCATTCAGTTGTTTAGTCCCTGGAATCTGACAAGGTGAAGCTGGAGCTCAAGGTCAAAATCTTGGAGCTTCAACTCAAAGAGAACAAAAGGCAGCTCCAGAGCTGGGCAGGTAAAATGCTACCGCTGAGGGGTGCCTGCTCTCCGCCCTCCCCCACACCTCCGGGGGCACCAGCCCCCCCTGCCCCGCACCCCCTTCCCCAGCTGGCTGCACAGGAGGGTGAACTTGGGCACCTGCCCGGAGCATGGGCTCACGGTAGCGTCCTTGGGTCCGCAAGCACTGGCGCCAAAATAAGCCCAAAACAAGGCGAAAAGGCACTTTGGGGATGCGGGTCAGTTTGGTTTTGGGGTCACACCTTGCGGTGCTCAGAATTTACTGCTGGCTCTGCTCAGAGATCACCCTGCTCAGGGGACCATTCAGGGGACCAGAGATCTAACCCCTTACCTGCTGAACTGTTGCTGCCCCCCAAAAGGCATATTTTCAAAGACCTACACTCACTCTTTGTTTTTTAACTAAAAGGTAATTCTGATTCTCAAGCAGATGAGGACGAAAGGGCCCAGGAGAATCAGGTAATATTTCTTTGCTGTGTTGCTTCCTTGTTATGTTTTATTTTGCTTGTTAGTTTGGGGACCACACCCTGTGGTGCTCAGGGCTTACCCCTGGCTCTACACTCAGGAATCACTCCTGGTAAGGCTTGGGGAACCATGTGGGGAGCCAGGGATCCAACCCAGGTCATTGGGGTACAAAGCAAATACCTATACTATTTTTCTGGCCCTTGTTGGGTTCTGTTGTTGTTGTTTTTGTTGTTTCATAAGGTTGTTCACATTATTTGATTACATCCAATATTTCAACACCAATTTATTTGATTACATTCAATATTTCAACTCCTGTTGTTCATCGATTTGCTTGAGCGGGTCCAGTAACGTCTCCATCGTGAGACTTGTTGTTACTGTGTTTGGCATATTGAATAAGTCACGGGTAGCTTGCCAGGCTTTGCCGTCCGGGCAAGATACTCTCGGTAGCTTGCCGGGCTCTCCGAGAGGGGCGGAAGAATCGAACTCAGGTCGGCCATGTTGGCTGCGTGCAAGGCAAGCGCCCTACCCGCTGTGCTATTGCTCCAGCCCATAATATATATATATATATATATATATATATATATATATATATATAAAGGTAAAGGTAAAGGTAAAGGCCCTCCCGTTGATCGTCGATTTGCTCGAGCGGGCCCAGTAACGTCTCCATTGGAGACTTTGTTGTTACTGTGTCTGGCATATCAAATACTCTCGGTAGCTTGCCGGGCTCTCCGAGAGGGGCGGAGGAATCGAACTCGGGTCGGCCATGTTGGCCGCTTGTAAGGCGAACGCCCTACCCGCTGTGCTATCATATATGAGATTGATATCCAAGGCTAGGAAAATGGGGCCAGGAGGACTGGTCAATGGTTGGAAGCTACCACAAGCATCGGGGACAGAGGGTAGTTAGGATAGAGTAGGGACCAGTCTGGCAATAATGCTTGGAAATGGTTGGAAATCACTTTGGACGGGAACTGGGTGTTGAAAGTAGGTTAAGAGATATACATAATAACCTTTCCATATCTGTATTGTAAACCAAAAGGTGCGTGTGTGAGAGAGACGGGGAGATAGAAAAGAGGGAGAGAGGGAGTAGAGAGAGAGCACTGCAGAAAGGAGGAGGGAGGGAGAGATGCCTTGCCTGCCTGGGGGAGTAGGGAGACTGGGAACATTGGTGGTGAGCAACGTACACTGGTGAAGGGACAGGTGTTGGAACATGATATGACTGAAATCAAATCATGATCAACTCTGTGTATTTCATTAGGATTAAAAAAATTCACAAAGAAAATAACATTTTTAAAAAGACAAAACAAATCTAAGTCAATCGTGAAATTTTGAGCGAGCAGCAGTGCAGTGGGCTGGTGAGCGGTGCTAGCAGAGCCTCACCTGGCAGCTGTGGTGGAGTCAGCTCCCATGCTCCAGAAGCTTCCGAAGCTTGGCGCCCTCTCCCTGGCCCAAACTGAACCTTACTCATCAGCGTTCGTTTGGGGGCTGCAGGGGCTGAAGCATATGAAGCATATCCCTCTGAAAGCGAATGCCTCAATCCCTGTACTATCTCCAGCCCCCGAAGGTGAGACTTTTCAGCAGATCGAGGACCAATTTTATCTTCAGTTATTTTGTTTCTTTTATTTTTTATTTTGCTTTTTGGGTCACATTGAGAGGTGCTCAGGGGTTATTCCTGGCTCTGCACTCAGGAATTATGCCTGGCGGTGCTTGGGGGACCCTATGGGATGCTGGGGATCGAACCCGGCTCGGCCGTGTGCAAGGCAAACACCCTAACTGCTGCGCTGTCGCTCTGGTCCCTTCTCATTATTTTATTTCAACCAAACAAACAAACAAAACCAATGTTCTGCATCCCACCCGGCGGTGTCCAGGGGCTACCTGGGCAGGGGTTGCCCCGACATCTTAGCACCACCACTGCGGTCTCTGATGCCAGTTCTCAGCACCCGGGGGCTCGCGGGCCACAGCGGGGGCCGTGCGGGACCCTCGGTCCCGGGGTGGGATGGTCGGAGCTGGGCGGAACCAAAATGCGGAAGACCACACCAGAAAAAGGCGCTGGGCCGCCGGCTGCTTCCAGACTTGGCCCCACAAGAGATTTCCACATTTTGTTTGTGCCCCGGCATAACCTGCTGTGTGAGCAGCAGCTGAAGCACCTGGGCGTCCTGGGCTCCTTCATCCACAGGGAGGAGTACAGCCTGGACCTCATTCCCTTCGACGGGGACCTTCTCTCCATGGAGTCGGAGGGCGCCTTCAGAGTAAGTTCAGTGTTTGCCCTTTGAACTTGACACTCGTTTCTGCCTCGTTTGTGATGGTGACACTGACACTGGCATTTCAGTGATTCCGGGAAGCCTCCAGTTTCTTCCTTTTGGGGAGAGATGGGAGTTGGGCCACACCCAGCAGTGCTCAAGGTTTACTCCTGGTTCTGTGCTCAAGGATCACTCCTGCCCATGCTTGGGGACCATATGTGGTGCCGGGGATAGAACCCAGGTTGGCTGTGTGCAAGACCAGCGCCTTCCCCTGTGCTGTCTCTCGGGCCGCTGCTCCTCTTGCTTATGGAGACCCTCCTGTTTCAACAAATTGGCTAAAAATTGTTATTGCCCTTACTGAATTCTCAAAAATCAGTTGTCCTTAAATGTGTTTATTCCTGGTGTTTCTCTGCTGCTGGTCAATGTTTGTCCTTGTACCCGTCCCACCCTGACTTGACTGTGGCTGTGGAGGAAGCTTTGAGAGTGGAAGGCAGGGCCGCTCCAGTCAGAAATAGTCAAGTCTGACACTGCGTTTTTCCAGTTAGCCATTTGTGAGTGATTTTGTTTCCATGACCCGCCTTTCCCCTTGATTGAGTCTTGACAAGACCTGAAGTCTCTTACTTTACATTCTCCGGGTAGTCTGCTGAGGGACCCCAGAGCTTGGGCAACCAGGCATGTGTCATGTGAGCAGTCAGCTTGGACATGGGGCACTGGGGGGCTCGCCCCGCCCGGGTGGAGTTTGCCAAGGGCCCCAGAGCCCTCGCAAGGGACCGTCTCTGAGGCTTCCTCGTGTGAACATGAGGGACCTTCCAGCCCTCACAGGACAGAGTCTGCTCGTGTGTGAACCTCCACACACACACACGGAGCCCCCTGCAGTCAGCTCCGTGGAGTAGAGGATGCCAGGGGCGGGGATCTGTGTGTAGGGATGGGATCGTCCATCTGTCTGTTCACTGTCCCTCTACACGACAGTCGGCAGCTGAGAGGAAAGACGGAGGAATCTAACCCGGGTAGGCCATGTGCAAGGCAAACGTCCTACCCACTGTGCCATCGACCCCTGTGGTTAACTTTAAAAATTTTTTTAATACGGAATTACGGGGGCTGGAGCGATAGCACAGTGGGTAAGGCGTTTGCTTTGCAAGCGGCCAGTATGGCCGACCCGAGTTGATTCCTCCGCCCCTCTCAGAGAGCCCGGCAAGCTACTGAGAGTATCTCGCCCGCACGGCAAAGCCTGGCAAGCTCCCCATGAAGTATTCAATATGCCAAACACAGTAACAGGTCTCACGATGAAGATGTTACTGGGCCCACTCGAGCAAATGGATGAATAACGGGAGGACCGTGACCGTGACCGTGACGGAATTATGGGTGGTGGGGAGATAGCTTAGAGGGCTAGAGCCCTAGCATCACCTGGGGAGCCCCGGATTCAGGACCCGAGGGACCCACACACCACCAGATATGACCCTAGGGGCTTTTAAAGAGGAATTACAAGGGCTGGAGCAATATGCATTGGAAGGGCATTTGCCTTGCACGCAGCTTATACACGTTCAATCTCTGGCATCCCATATGGTTCCCAAAGCACCACCAGAATAATTCCTGAGTGCAGAGCCAGGGGTATCCCCTGAGCCTCGCCGGTGGAAGTTGTTAGAGGTGTCTGTAGTAATACGCCATTTTTATATGAATATTTTGTTTGGGTGCTCGGGGCTGGGCAGGGCCGGGCAGAAACTGGCTTAGCTGTCCGCAGGCAGACACAGTTCCCACTCTGAACAGTCACCTGGGCCCCTAAGCAGTTCGAAAGAGGCCCCCTAATGCTTTCCTTCCCCTGAATCTTCCTCTCTGCTCTGCTCCAATGAGGAATTTCTGGTCCTTTTCTGAGGACTCTTTGGACATCCCAACCAGGATGTTTTGGACTGAAGTGTCCCAGACTTGGCACCCCAGACTTGGCAGAGACATACTACGGGACCTTTGGCGATACTGTGCTCACTCTGGGCCAGGCTCTCTGGGAGGTCTCCCTCTGCACCCCGCCCCCACTCTGCACCCCTTATCCTCACGCCTTTGGGGTGCACGCCTGTTGGCCGCTGCCTTAGACAGGGTCAAAGATTCCACGATGAGGGGCTGGAGCAATAGCACAGTGGGTGAGGTGTTTGCCTTGCATACGTCCAACCCGGGTTTGATTCCCAGCATCCCATTTGGTTCCCCCGAGCACCACTAGGAGTAGTTCCTGAGTGCATGAGCCAGGAGTAACCCCTGTGCATTGCCGGGTGTGATCCAAAAAGAAAAAAAAAATCAAGAGAGTCCCGCGATGGGCACCGGCAGTGGCGTCCCATCAGGTGGAGTGCAGGTAAAGCGCGTTGCGTGATTTCCCTCCTCTGCTCTCTGCATTTGCTGGATGAAGGGATTGAGGCACAGGAGTGATCTTGAGGCCCCGCTGGGGACCATGTGTGCTCTGTCAACCCTGCTGAACCGCCCGGCTGGGGGGCGCGTGCGTGCTCTTTCCTCTCTCTGGGCCAAAGATGTTTCTTTTTGTCTGTGTGTTAAATGGACCTTGTGGCCCTTCTCCGAGACCATGGCTGCCCTCCTCCTGTCCCCTGTGACACTCGCTGCTGTATGTGGGAGACGCTGCCTGCCCTTCTGCAAGCCCAGCGTGTTGTGCTGTGTGGTCACGCGGGCATGCAGAGGCCAGCCTTTCCTCGCCCACCCAGCGATGCTCGCCCCCAGTAGAGGCGCTGCCTTAGGGCCTCGGTGCTGACTCACAGAGCCTGTGCCCA